AGAATTGTAGGAAAGATCAAGAATTTTGAGCGCAGGCATATGCTCAAAGACAGATTCTGAAATTGTTGACAAATTATTGTGGGATAACAACAAAGTTGTGAGGCTTGTGCATTTTGAAGATAGGATGCTTGAAGGAATTTCTTCTATCTCATTCCTCATTAATGAAACCTTTTCAAGATCTCCCGTCCATTCTCCCTTCTCAGGTAGCTTTTTCAACGCCTTACCAGCTTCTACCATGAACCGAGGACTCGTTCTTGTAATTTGCAATGCCATATCCCTAACAAGATCATGCATTCTCACACTATCATTTTCATATATATATTTACTGGATTCCAACAAACAATTGTCTTGAAGTTTCTTCAATCTATCAAGGCCTTCATCCTTCATTGCTTGTATAGTCTCCATTTCATCTATCAACCCCTCATCAATCCAATAATCAATTATATCATCTATTGGGATATTGTGGTCCTCTGGATACAATGCACAACATAAAAAGCAATGTTGGATTTGTGAGGATTTCAAACGATCATAACTAAATTTTAATACCCCAAATGCATCATCATTATCATCTGTGCCTGCTACATTTCTTTTGCAGTCTTTCAATTGATTCAATGCAGCACTCCACAACCGTGGCTCAGATATTCCCTTCAGGCTACTAGCAACAGTAACAATTGCTAAGGGAAGGCCATCACATTCATCTACAATCCCCTTTAAAGTTGATTCTAAAGTTCCTTTAATGCACCCTTGATCTGACAAAACAATGTCTCCAACTTTATCCATAAACAATTTTAAGGCTTCCCTTTTTGAAAGAGTCTCCACTTTAATTATCTTATAATCCATTGTACGAGCAACCTCTTGTGACCGTGTAGTCAATACTAGCTTGCAACCATCACTTACAAGCGGCTTGGGAATTCCTACATCTTCAAGTTCAAATCTACTCCACACATCATCTAGAATCAACAAGTAAGGCCTATGTCTTTCTAACACCTGTAACAACATTCCTGCACGTACACTTGCATTTTGTTGCTCAAGTATTTTTTCTTCCTTCAAGATTGTAGCAATTTGTTTTTGCAAATTGTAGATATCAAGGGGTTGTGACACAGTTACCCAAATTACTATTTTGAATTTTCTTTCTTTCAACAACTCATTGTAGACATGCTTCATGATTGTTGTTTTTCCAACACCCCCCATTCCCCAAACTCCAAGCTTTGTCACCTCATCTCCCATCAAGCATGCCAAAATTTTTTCTTTGACATCTTCTCTGCCTTGTAATTCCATTGTTGGCAATTCCACTGCCGAGGAGGATGGATCGGCCATGACCAAAGACTCATTAGTGTATTTATCCCCTCTATCATATATTATCTTCAGTTCTTGAGCCCTTTCCTGTAGAATCTTTACTCGACAACAACATGACAAACATCCCCAACCATTCACTTCTTCTACAACATCTTCTCTGGCAAAAAACTTGTCTGCTTCCTCCAACCATTTTTGCACTTCCTCCTTTGCAATTTGCCCATAGTGAAGCTCTGTGTCCAATCTGGATTTAATATCACCCTTTCGAGTGCACAAGCGTTCTTTGCTTGCATTGAATTGTTCCAAATAATAATTGAATTTTATCTGATATTTTAAGTAACTCACAATTGGATCACCAACAAACTTCAAAATTTCAATGATTGGCCCAACAAAGTTCTCCATTATGTAGTCTCTACATCACATTATTTAAGTAAAGAATAGTCAATTCATTAAACCAAAGAATGAGACAAAAATAGAATATTATTAGAAGTAGGTTCAAAATATGAGGATATAAATCAATAAGAATGAGACCCAAAAAAAAAAAAAAAGAATATTGTTCTAAACAGGTT